TTTCTAGTTTCATCAATAGAGGGAGTAGACAGTCTTTTCCTTTGTGGCATTATTTAAGGTTGGTAAAGAGAAACAGCACGATAGCCCATCCACTTTCAAAGGGAGGTGTTCTGTTTTTATGTAATGTTTCCAAACGGGATCTTTTCCCTCCATTTTTTGTGTCTGAAAAGGGAGCTTTCCCCCCATATTTTAATAAACTGCTCTATTGCCTAATTCCAAAGCCTGCTAGTTCCTCCTCAGCTAAGTTTGCAGCTGTTTCTGTTTAAAGCTTCATTTTGCCTCCTCATTAATGCCTTCAATAAGGTCTCATGCTTGAGACTAAAAAGAAGGTCTGAAGCATAAAACAATGATCCAAGTTTGTTTGTGCGGTTCTGTGCCCATTCTAGCAATTTGGTTGAGACACGTCTGCAATACAACTATACAGACGTGTGGCTCCAAGTAGTCACTTTTTTTTTTTTTTTGTCCTTTGCAAATGTATCATGGGAACATAAAGGGACAGGAAGACATGAGGAAAAAGGCAGAGGGGGAAATTCAGTGCTGCAGGGAGCTCATCACATGAGGAGCAGAGAGGACAATCATGCCTGCCTCCAAAATCTGCTGGAAACTGTTCCTGCCATTCTCAGTGAAGCACGTTGCCCACTTTGAAGAACTGATACTCTTGGGCACAGCCAGCTGCCTGCTGGCAAACCTCCAAGCACAGACTCAGCTCCTTACACACCACACACACAACCTGTGAAGGGAGACAGAAACGATCAGCTAAGTGCAATGTTAGGAATGTACATCAGCTTACAAGTAACTACTCCAAATGAAGTGGGAGCAGAGAATTCTTATTTCCACCTACTTCAGCCCAGGTATTACGATTGCCCAGCTAGTTTTCTCCGTGAGAGCCCTCATGAAAAATGGGCTGATGGGTTCTGCAAAACCATCACAGCTGTGAGTCAGTGAGCAAAGCCAGCAGATGCGTAGAGATGCTTCCTGTAGATAGCTTCACTAACTGCCTTCGCTGCTCTCTGTAACGTTTGGTGCCAACAGCAATATAAGCACTGGCTGATTATTTTTGAAGTTGCTGTTTATTATCACTGTTTACTGCATTGTTGTGAGACCTGGCAGCACCACCCGTGCAGCTGGGCTCCAGGATGCTGGTGGGCACTCTGCAAGCACAGAACAGAAAGACGGTTGTAGTCCCCAAGCCATCTCACTAACCTCCAGCCAAAAAGTACCAGCGCTGTAGCCATATAAGCAGAGGAATAGTGAGACAATAGTGCTGTATCCAATATTGGTCATCAGCTCTTCTGTTCTGGAGCAAAGCTGTTTGTGTAACTGCTGCCCATAAGGTTGCAGTATCAGTCAAGGAATCGGACAGTCGGTCCTTCCTGGTGCTGGGAGTAGCAGTACAGTCAGTGGATGTGCTGACTGATGGCATTGGAAGGGCTTTCCTAACAGTTTGCACTGTCATATTTTTTACAGAGAAAGCTTAAATCCAGTGAAGATGTTAGTTCTGTCTCAGTGCCTGTTACTGCCTTACACAGTTGTCTGACTTACTGCAACGTGAAAGATCACTCAAGTTTTCAAGTCTGTATTGCTGAAAGTGAGCAATAGTGATACGGATCAAGGAAGTAATAAAAATTCAGAAATATTTTGAGGGATTAATGCATTTGGCAATTGCAACTTCCTAGTCGTCAGTTTTATTCTGAAATATCCTCAGTTTTAGCACATGGAGTAGGAGTACAGAACCATTCCCTGGGTGTGCAGGCATGGCGCTTGGGAAGCCAAAGCTCACCTGTTGGTGTAACCGGCAAGGGATGTCAAGGGCAACAAGAGAAGCTTCCACCACCACAGCAGCAGTGAAAGGATATAAAAGGAAGGTGCAGGACCTCTGCTGAAGGCAGCAGGTGACTTAGTGTCAACAGGCAGAGAGAGACAAGGCTGCGGTAGTCAATGCCACCTTTGCCATGATCTTCACCAACAGAGACTGCCAGCCCTTGTGCCTCATGGAGAAGAGAATCTGTTCATAGCAGAAAAGGACTGAGTTGGGGATCCTCTCTTGAGGAATGCCAACCCTTGCAAGTCTGGAGAACCAGCCAGGTGCTCAGAGGGCTGGCCAATGTCACTGCAATGCCGCTTTTTATCTTTGAAAGGTCATGGAGATTTGGAAAGGTACCTAATGGCTGAAAAAGGCTAAATGCTGCACCTTGTCTTCCAAAAGAGCAAAGACAATCCAAGGAGCTACAGGCTGGTGAGCTTCACTTTGGGAAAACCACAAAAACAGGTTCTCTTTAGAGCTATTTCTGGGCATATAGAGGAGAAAAAGGTGGCTGGAAAGACCCAGAACGGGTTTATCAAGGGTACATCATGCCTGACCAACCTGATCACCTGCCTTGATCCATCGATGATGGGAGAGCAGTGGATAGGAGGCCTTCATCATGGTCTCCCACAGCTTCCCTGTTGGGACAATTAGATGAGAGAAAAACTGATTGGATCTTGGTGATTCGTGGTTTATACTGTACCAGGAAGCTGGTTACAAGTGAAGTTCTTCAGAAGTCTATTTTGAGACCTGTCCTGTTTAATATCCATATCAATAGCCTGGAGGAGGACCCAGAGTGCACTCTCAACCAATTCATGGACAACATTAAATTAAGGCTCACAGTCAACGCACTCCAGGACGGGGCTGCCATTCAGAGGGGCTTAGATAGGCCAAACGAACGAGAAGACAAATCTTAGGAAAGGTAGTGAGGACAAATGGACTTGATGTGGTCTAACCCCCTGCATTTCTATGGGCTAGGCACCAACAGGCTGGGGTGCAGCTCTGATGGGAAGGACCCAGGTTCCCTGGTGACCAACAGACCAAACGTGAGCCGGCAGAGAGTCCTGGCAGGGAGGAAGGCTAACAGCATCCTGGGCTGCATCGTCAGAAGCATGGTCAGTAGACCCAGGGAAGTGTTTATTGCCTGTTACAGAGCATTCGTTACACCTCATCTGGAATACTGTACCTAGTTTGGGTGCCCCCAGTTAAGGAGGACCTTGATAAACCTCTGAAAGTCCCTTGAGGGGCCACCAAGACAGTTGGGAGCCAGAGCCTTTTCCCTGTGAGGAGATGCCAGGAAAGCTGGACTTGTTCAGCCTGGGGAAGCCAGTACCCGCAAAGGAGGTCCCCTCCAACTTTAATAACTCTGCAGTTCTAACCAAATATGCATTTGAGTTAAAGTCAAGAAAACCTTAACCTTCAGAAAATTTTCAGATTTCGTATAAATGTACATCACCGGTCTTACTAGCAAGCCTGCTGCATGGGCACATTTTAGAGAAATTATGGTGTTGCTGTACTTTCAGCAACCTCTGGTGTTATTAATGCCCCATTATTCTGGAATTAGAAGGAGATACCTGACAGAATTTAAAGTCAAAACGTTTAAAAGCACATCACAGCTGCACTGGTTTTGATAGTATTTAAACCAATAATTGTTTATCAAAATATGAGTGTATTAATCTCAAGAATTGAGCAAAGTCTATTTTGTTCAGATTTCTGAAAATAATATCTCTGAAAATAAGGGTGAATTAGAAAATAGGACCGTTTTGCTATATTTCTTCAGAATTTATTAAGCATAAGAAAAATGAATCCACTCCTTTACCTTACTTTTTTCTTACATAAGAATTTTGTAACTCCTGGGATTTGATTTTTTTGGGCACAACGACTTACAGTTAAACTTTAGCTCTTCCAGTTTTTCTATGAAGACAGAAGAGCCGTTACAGTTTTTACAGAACTTCTGTCTCTATTACAGTGGAAGTGACCTTTGGGCATTTCAGCATAGTGTTCAAAGCTGCTGCTCCTCCAAGGAGAAGGTGCTACAGGAGTGTTTGTGGAAGCAGCTGGGGAGCGGGTGCGTAGCTTCAGCCCACGCGAGGAGCCAGCACCCAGCTTTGGCTCCGGGTGTCTTGGACCTTCACCTAGGTGGTGACCAAATTCTGCAACGGCCTGTTCCTGTGCCTACAGAGGCCACCGTGCGTTTTGGCAGTGACCTGGGTAAGACGTGTGTGACTGTGCCGCAGGGAGCGCTTTGTCGTGACTAGGAAGGAAATTGCCTGTAGGGCTGCATCTCCCGTAAAGCCCTCCCTGCTTCTTCCCTGGCGTGGGACACTGCGGGTCAGTCGCCGAGACACCCTGAGGAGTCTTGGAAAGTGCCCAGATGGGCTGCTCGGTGCTTAGCTAGGACAGCTGAATCTGGGTAATAGCACCCTTTTTTTAAAAAAAAAAAAGGGGAAAAAAACCCAAACAAACAAAAAAAACCAAACCAAAAATCAAAACCAAACAAAAGCCTCTCTGTAAAGAGAAAAAGAAAAAGATGCTCATTTATACTGAAAGGAAAAAGTGATGGAATGTCATTACTCCTCCAAACACTGGCTGTGCTGAAGCAGTAATAACAACAGGGACTGCTGCTGTGTACCTACTGTACAGTAGTGTGTATATATAGTTGTATACATAGTGCATACATACGCTATATAGTGTGTAACTCCAGTTTTGTATAGAGAGTGTATATGTATAGTGTGTATGTGTATATATATGTATATGTGTATATATATGGGTGTATAGATGTATAGATGTATATATATACACTATATAGTCATATATATATGTATATTTAAATATATCGAGAGAGAGAGAGAGTATACATGTTACATGCTCCAAGCCCAGCATTTAAGTGCCAAACTGCAAACCCGTGCGGCACCCCGGGGGCCGCTTAACCCCCTCGCCCACCGCGGGCCGCCCGCCGAGTCGTGCCGGCACAGCACGCCGGGCACAGCCGCGGGCCCTCGCCCCGGGCCACGTCACCGGGGGCTGAGCCGTGCGGGACCGTGACCGCGGCCGTGGCCGTGACCGCGACCGTGGCCGGGCGGGGGGCTCAGCGCCGCGGGGGGGGAGTGTGGGCGGTGTGGGCGGGGAGGGAGGCCCCGCCCCGCGCCGCCAGGCCCCGCCCCTCCGGGCCGCAGCCTCCGCCCTCCGGCCCCGCCCCCCGCCCGGAGCCGCCGCGCCGATGCCACGTGGGAGGCGGCGGAGCCGCCGTAGGCGCCGGGCCGGAACCGCGGCCCCCCTGACGCTGGGGACGGCCCTCGCCGGGCGCCGGGAGGAGGGGAGGTCGCGGAGCCCCCGGGACCGCGCCGGCATCGCCGAGACCCGATGGGTGCTCGGCGCGGTGGCGCCCGGCTCGCGGCTCGGCCTCCCGGGCCTAGAGGCGCTGGCGGCGGCGGCCGGGCCTAGGGGCGGCTCCCCGCCCTGGGCCGCGCCCTCGCTGCTCCAGGTGCCGGTGGCGGCGCAGCCGGCCCCGCGGCGGGAGGGCAGCGACCTGCCCGGCGGCGCGCCGGCCGCCCTGGCCGTGCTGCGCCTCCAGCACGGCGCTGAGGGCTCGGCGCGGGCGGCGGCGGCGGCGGCGGCGGCGGGGGCCGGGGCCGCGCCGCGCCTGCGGACCGTCTACGTGAACCCGCGCTGGCTGGAGCGGCAGGCCGCGCTGGGGGCGGCGGCGGCGGCGGCGGCGGCGTTGGCGGCCAGCCCCTGCGCCGAGGCGGCGGCGGCGGCGGCGAGCGGCGCGGCCGGGGGCCCGGCGGCCGCAGCGGCGGGGCAGGGCGAGGCGGCGGCGGCGGCGGCGGAGGCGGCGGCCACCCCCTACGTGGGGCTGCGGCGGCCGCTGGGCTACCAGCTGGCCAAGGCCACCAAGGAGCGGATCTGGCGGGGGGAGTTCATTGACCTCTTTTCCTTGCTCCACACAGAGCTGGCCCCCGAGCACGGCCCGCGCCCGGGGGACACGCTGGACCAGTGGGTCTCGGCCTTCCTGGTGTACGCCAGCGTGCTGTGCGAGAAGCACCCGGCGCGCTGCGGGGCCATGTTCAAGTACCTGGACACCATCCGCAAGCTACACGCCACCTACGGGGGCACCTCCTGGATGAATTACGACGAGGACTTTCGGCGGCGGGCGGCCAAGGACCCCACCCTGCCCTGGGGCGACGTGGACCTCGACCTCTGGATGAAGTGGATGGCGCCCCTCAAGTCGCTCGTCAGCCGGCAGCCGCGTGCCGAGGGCGAGGCGCAGGCCCCGCCGGCCCCGCCGCCGGCCCAGAGCCCCGAGCGGGAGGAGAAAATCCAGGTGTGACGGGCCGACGGCCGCCGCGGCGCGTCTCCCCGCTCTCCTGGCCGGCCACGGTGCCCCCCTCGGATGGGGAAGAGGAGAAGGGGGGCGGTCGGGGTTGCCCCCGAGTCGGTCGGTGGCCCCCCCGTGTCGTGGCACTGGCCACAGGGCCGTGGCAGGCACTGGCGAGGCGTGGGGCCAGGCGGGTGTCCCGCCAGGCTGGCCGCCGTGGAAGGTGTGGGCATTGCTGGAGAGAAATGCACGGTCTCAGCAAATAATTGTTTGTATCATTTATTTCTCTGGCTGCTGGAAATTGGGAGCCCCACTCATTCCCTCCCCTGCTAGATAATTGCGTTTTCCGTAAGATGTTAGAAGGAAAGGTGTGTTTTGGTGGTTTGTTTTTTTTTTTTTTTTTCCTGTTGAGTTGTCTTTAAAACATTAACATTCTCAGCAATACAACTATCCATATGTAAGACAAAGAGTGCAAGCTCTCCTGTTACTGTGGGAGCATGTGGTAGGTGCAGGCTGTGTGAGAGGCCAGAAAAATTAGTGCAAATAAAGATAAACTTCGATACGAATGGCCACAGCTTGCAAATTCACTGTGATTTGGAGATTTAACCTGGTTTTGGACTCGGTACATTCAGTCCACGAGTTCTGGCCCGTTTTGTGGGAAAAGATGGTGGGGGCGATTAAGGGAAGTAAGGAAGATTTTGTGTATGTTAAGCTTTTGCTTTCGATACAGGCATCGAGTGTCACTGGATTGGTATAAGCCCTGACGTACGTGGGCAGATCTACCCTTTCCACCACGTGAGCTGTGACAGCAAGCTCCGCCGTACCAGGGGCTGCCTGCCTGTGTTAGGGGTTGTGCTGCTTCTCTCACACTGGTGGCTGTGGTCTGTCAGATCCCTAGCACAGAAAACGCTGCAGGATGAGTTTCATGCCTGCTGAATGATGGCAGGGAGATTCTGCTATATTGGCTGTCGTTATTCCTAAACTTTGTTTTTTAGGACCGTAAGAAGCACCTTTGCATTCCTGAAGGGTTTTTGCTGGCTCATCGGGTGCTGTGCTTCCCGGGGTTTGCCAGCACAGAGGAGTGGCTAAATTGTTTGACTCTGGTAGCCTGATCTGCACCCTTTTTCAGGGCATCGGGGAGCATTTGCTGTGCCACAGCAAGTCCCAACTTTGGTACCTATCAAAAGTGAATTCTCTGGGCCAACCTGCAACACAGACAGGGAGTAAACCCCTTGAAGTAATATAGATGAACAGGTCCCCGAGCAGGCCTTGTGGCCTTGGTGCCTTCTGTGGTTGATGCTCTAGGTTTATGCAACTTTTTCTGATATCTGTTTAGATTTCTCCGTTCTTGAGAACAACAGCTCAGTTCTTGTTTTGCTGCCGATCTTATGTCAACACCAGATGGTCAATGGCTTATATCTTTCATCTCATCCAAGGCTGGATCTTCATCTTGCCATGTTAACCAGACTTGTAACTTCTTCCATAGCAATCAGTCTGTCAGTGCAGAGCTTTGCACTGTTGTCTGCTGAGGCACCAGAGGTCTCGATCCCCTTTGGTTTTGTGGAAATTTCCCACTTGATTTTTAGCAGTGGCATTGATTTCCCCCACGCCCCGAAATCATGTAAAGAAAAATTATAAATGTTTGTTTTAACTAAATAACTTACAAAGTACCAAAAGTTTAATGTTTATAAAAAGAGTGCTTTAGCAGCACAATGAAAAGCAAAAGTTGTGCAATTGTTCAGTGTGGGTTCAACCGCCTTTCTATTATTAGAGCAGTTTTTGATTACTAGCACATAGTCTCTTATAACTGTTTTAAAAGAGAAAACTGTCCTTAACTGAAATAATGGTTTGAGCAGCTGTTAAATGTAGATGAGGCCTAGGACAAAGAATGAGTTTATCATTGGCAAGGCAACTGCAAGGAATTGTTGCTCTCTTGGAGGTGACCTGTTGGTTTCTCCTGCACCTCCCCAGCTCTTTGCAAGCTCTAATTATGTTGTGTAAAACTACTTCAGATAAGTAAGACGTGGCTTCACATTTGGGCAAAAGATCAGAGAACTAAAATGGGAAAGAATCGCCTTCTGTGGGCTTTGGCCAGAACCTAAGCTTTTCCACATTCATGCTGTCAAGAGGAAGAGGAGGTGTTTTACAAAGACCTTTTCTTCCAGATTGTTTGTTTGAACTGATTCTGTTTTCATAATTTCAAGGGATAACATTAGGCAGCCTGACTAGATTTCATTTCACCTTTCGGTTGAAGGCTCCTTAAGTTTCAGCTTGGTGTAGTGCCTGTATCTCTAGTTCTGCACTTCCACAGAAGGTTAACCAGTAAAAGCAAATTCAAGGAAAACTAAGTGTCGTGTTTGACGCTAGCTGTCCTTTCCAAGGCCCTGATGAAGAGCTGTAACTTTGCTTTACACAGAAAGAACAAAGTGAGAAACGCTAGCTTTAGTTCGAGTGCGATAATTGGCACTTATGTGGGATAGCTGAGATTCGTTCCTGTAAATCTATGTCTATATGTGTAACTTCAGACAATTCTCTTTTTTTTTGTTGTTGTTTTTCCAGACTCCATGAAAACAGAAGGCCAGTTGGGATGGCAGTCAGACTAAGTGGGTGAGTTTGTTTATAAAACTGACTAACTTTGGATCTTAAATATTTGCAGATTTGTTAAATACAGAATTTCTTATTGGTGCCAACAGCCTGACTCCGTTGGTGTTTAAGTGGAGCTCTGGTATTCTAGTGCATTCTTTTACCTCTGCTTCTGTTGCGTTGCAAGCTGTGCTAGAGAAGACATAGGAAATTCATTTTACCCAATCAGCAATTGTAACAATGGACTACAAACCTGCAGAGCAAGCCAGTTTGCTGGAAAACAGGAATTCCTGCAGCGCAGCACTTGTCACAGACTATCCAAAGAGGGCAAAGATTCAGGAAGGTGAATAAATTGAACATTGGTTGAATGAGGTCAGGAACAGTCTCCCGGAGGAGAACCCTGCCCTAAAATACTACTTTGAAAGTATAAGCCAATTTAATGTGCAGATTAATCCTTCTCATTTGAGCAAACTTGTGTGCAATCCTGGATCTTTGCAGATCACAACCGGACACTTCAAAAAGCTATGTACTATATTTGTTTTAAAAAAAAAAATAAATCATAACTTGTCTTGTTACAGATGTTACTTTTACCATTTCATTGAGAATCTCTGCAACATAAATGTATATTTGACTTGAAACAGTATCATACACTCGGTATAATAACTCAGGTTGTCAACAGAATTATTCTGTGAGGCTCAGTATCACCTTTCCATTCTTCTCTGAAAAATGCATTAACCATTGGTGTCAGTGCCAGAAATCAGTTATATCCCAACTGTGCATTACAAAACTCTTGATGAAATATAATTGACCTAAATTATTATTCTGGTTTTATCCTCGTAGAATACTAAAGGTCCTGAGCATCAGACTAGACCTTTGTAGTCTGGCGTTCAGGAAAATCATGTTCACTGAATTACAGTTTAACCATTTTACATCTCAGTGTTTTGTTTTCTTTTCCTTTTCCCTTGCATACTAGGGAGTATGATCAAGGTAATACTATGATCCAGTAACGCGCATGATGGTAAGGGTATGCCTTTAGTTGTTTCAGGAAAAAGCTGCCACTATCTGCTCTCCTTTACCTTTCTTGATAGTTTCAATAATATGCATAACATGAAGTGTTTGTAAATTGATATTAAACTGTTTGTGACTTCACCTAAATAAATTTTTATATATAAATGCTGGTTTTAATCTTAGCCTTTTTTTCCTTCCTTGTTCTTATATTGCCACTTCCCCTTTTGTAATCACTTTTTTACATCACCTGGCCTTTTACAAAATTTCTGGTTTTCAGTTATTAAAGCGTAACCGAACCTTAACTATCAACAGAAAACAAATCAGCCTTTGAAATTTGCTTTCAATATTTTACATAAAGACTTAATAATGTTGTAACTGTAGTTGCCGTAGCTTATTCATCTTTGCCAGTTGTTGAGACAGTGATGGGTATCAGGCCTTGTTCTGTCTAAAAATGAAATAGCTGCTGTACTGAAATACCAGTGTTTTAATGGCCACCAAACTGGGACTCTGATCCAATGAATGCTGAGCTATTTGCATTTAATACAACAGAATATAGAGCACTTTTTATAACTTGCAATTCCACCTGTAAAATACCTTTAATTTCTGAGAAGGGGCTTAAGCTCAGTGATCAGATCGCTCATGCCGCTTCTCCTTTGTCCTGTTTTCTTAAGAAATCAGAATTCGGTTACTCGCTGGTCCATGTTGTGTTTCTCCCCCATCTTTGCTACGTATGAACCACTGCAGGCATCTCCTCCTGAGGAAGTGCTGTAATAATGGCAGGATTTGGGGGGAGGCGTGGGGAGAGGGGGATGTGAAGTGAGGAAGGATGAGCAGATGTTGGTCTCCTCAGTCCCGCTGATGAATTGCTCAAGTGTGGGTCTTAACCTACTGACTCAGAGCAGCAAAGCAGCAACAGTTTTGTTTTTCTTGTCCTATTTGGGAGCAGCATACCCAGCTGGAGTCTGAAACACTTCCTAATGTTCTTTGCTGAGCCCTTCTGCCAAGAATTTGTTGGGTTTCTTTGTTACTCTCTCCAGCCTTCATATAGTCTGGTGCCCTTCCTGGCACTCTGTCACCTCCCAGTTTCCTGGTTGCTACTGGTGCTGGGTTGGACCACCCTGTCTTCTGTGTCTGCTGTAGACAACTGCCAGGGCTCTGCCTTGCTCTCCAGTGGCAGTGGCTGCTTTAAAATTGCTGCCTGCTTTCATAAAGAAATTGCCTTTCAGGTTATTAGCAGTGGTCTTTTCATGACATGTGGGACTTGGACTACCCCTCATCCCCTCCCCTCTCCCCCCACCCTCCTTTTATTTTCTTCCTTCATAAACTTGGCCTTCATCACTGTCTTTGAGCCACCCAGTAATTTCTCTGTGGTACTTGTGCATCCCTGCTTTGAGGTTTATTGTTGCATGTGTGCTTTCCCCCCTCATTGCTGTGGTGTAAGCTTCTGCATGAAATTTCCTTGTCCATTAGTTTCTCGTTAAAAGTGTTGGACTTCAATGGATTTCTTCAAATTCCTACTGTTAGTTACTCCCTGGGTTTGCATAGGTGATTGACATCAGATGAATCTTAACCTTTACAGCTCCTGATGTTCTGTCCTTGTTGAGTCAGCATGCTGGCTGTGTTGAAAGGGTGGTGCAGAACTGCATATCCGTTCATCTCTGATTTATGAGTAGTTTTCTTTCAATGATTATAAGCTAAATTTGCTGTCACTTACATGGTGTGGTGGGCAGCACGGAGGTGCTGAAGTCGCCTGCTGTATGAAAGCAGACATTGAGGATAACCCTTTAGCTAAGTGATGCGTGAAGACAGAGAGCATGGTTGGTGAGAGGCTTAGTGTTGAAACGAACCGTGATTCTCTTTCAGTAACTGTGACCTGCAATGGAAATCGGTGATACACAGGAATTATTTTTTTTTAATACTATTTCTGTAAGTCCTGTTACTTAGCATGGGGGGATGTCTTCAGTGTTGTTGCAATTTCTTATGCTTTTCTCAAAAAGTTTGAGCACTTGTATGAAGTTGCAGCAGAGCTTTTCACCTAGACTGATAGAACTTCTGGTTGAGAATAATTGTAAAATGTGTGGGAATTGATTTGTTTGGGACTACCAGCATCTTACAGGAAAACAGTTTTCTGTCAGTTGACTAGAACTTAGCAGCTTGTTCTTTTGGGGAGTAATTTCAGATAAGTTCATTTTTAGGGATTTCTAGCAAGACAGGGTTTTTTTGTTTTTCCCAGATGTGCTTTTTCATGTGCTGGATTGATGCAATATTATTACAAAGAACAAATTAAAACCAGCACAATGTGACTGACAGCATAAAATGTGTTGCCACTTAGAGATGAGACTAAAATACATAAGGCTTTGAGCAAGCTGGCATGATTGGGGAGTTTAGAGTCAAACTTCAGCAAAAGTAGAGTCAAATAAATGGGATTTCTAACTTCCACCTGTGTGCAGCAGTCAGGCTTGAGATACTTGGAGCATCTGAAAAAATGAAGCAATGTTACTACTCTTCTGGCCTTACTACTATAATGATGTGTCTTGAAAGGTAGGATGACAGCAGAACATTTTGCATGTGGGGTAGCCTGTCACATCTGCAGCTGAGAAAAATTATTACTTCTGAGCTCTGATGAGATCCTGCCAGTTATTCAATGCAGCTTCCAATCTAAGCTTCAACTGTTGCTTTCCCGTCTTCCTCTTTCTCCCATCATCTCACCAACTTGTTTTCTTCTTTATAAAAATCTGGTGAGCACGGCACCTCCTGAGGCCCAGCCGTGGGATCAGGCATTGTCTGACCAGACTGTCTGCATGTACAAAGTCTTTTGCCCCCACGTAGGTAGATCTGCCAAGTTGGTATGGTCTAGCATGAAGAAATTCATCATGTGTCGTAAGTGTGGCTGGACAGAGTGCACGCGGGAGACTCCCTGGCTGCCTGCTAGGCTCGTGTGTTTTTGAGAAGCTCGTGGCATTGGCAACAGGTCTTTCTGTGCACTGCTGTAGTGAAATCAAACCCGAATTCCCAGAGACTGTTGTAACCATTGAGGGGAGGGATGTGACTCAGTGCCATTTGTGGAAATGTGTCCTAGTGAAGTTATCAAACTTTTTTTTTTAGGTCATATGCTTAACAGGAACTGCAACAATTTATAGTGTCTATGGGAGTGCTTTCGGCTGTTCTTTCTACAGGATGATGTCCCTGACAACTCAGCTGGAGAAATTAGAAGGCTAGATCTTACTTTTCCTCTCTTGTTTTGGCACTCAGGTTTGACTTCTACCCTATTACGAAGTTCAGTGTGCCTTAGTCCAGCACAGCACATAAATTTTCATCTAGATAATCTTCCTGGTCCAGCACCAGGAACAATGTGTTTGGGTGTTGTTTTTTTCCCTGGGACTCGTCTTCAAAACCAGTTGGTATCTTTGCAGTTTGGCAGTTTACTGGCAGTGGCTAAACAGCAGCTAAGATTTAAAAAGCAGCAACATGTTTACAATATCTTACATATTTGTAAACCTGAAATATTTCAAGAAGTACTTTTACCTTTTTTGGTGGTTGTTGCTCCTTAATTTACAGAACACTCTTCTGCCCAATGTCTCGGTGCAGTGTTGCTGTGTTAGCATTTCCAGGGCAGCAGGAGAATGTTTACATCCAAACAAAATCTGCTTTCTTTGAATTTTTTAATTGCAAACATTTGTGTCCATAAAAATCCTTTCCACAAAACTCAGTCACTGTTTAGCTTATTTTTTCTGATTCTGTGCCATGTCTAGAACCCAGATCACATTCAGTCTTCAGGTTTTTTTTATTTTCTGAATCATGTAATATGAGTGTTGTATCTGCACCTACATCAGCGGGTGTAGAAAATCGCCACTTGCCACTTAAAATGGCAGTCCTAGCAGTCTGAAGTCAGGAATAGCTGTTTAAAAACAGAAGTATGGCTTACAGAGGCTTCAGATACTGTAAGTGCCATCTGCGTTGCTGATGTTAAAAGTGTCCATACACGCCATGTCTTATCCCAAAATACGAGGTTACGTGAAGTTACGAAGCTGTACAGAGTCTCAGCCTGTGGCTTGCTCTGCAGAGGCAGCGGTCAAAGGGCTGGGTGTGCTGGTGTTAGTTGGTGGGGCCGCGTAGTTGATACGCTGCAAGACAACAGGGTGGCAGAGGACCTGGGCTGGGTGTTCCCCTATAGATGTCCCTGGCATAAGTGGAGACGAGACAGCTCCTTGAAATGCGTAATGTGGGCCAAGAGTTTGTACCTCTTCTGCCTATACTTTCCACCCCCTGCTCGGGCTTTCTGGCATTTATCTTCCAGCATACCTCCCTCGTCTCCTTTGTTGTTTTTTTCACTCCCTAACAGTCAAATGCCATTCATGCCAGCGTTTGGAAGGAATGCATACAGGTGCATGCAGATGATTCCCTACCATATACGTATCTCCCATGGATGATCCATGCAATGCTAACCAAACAGATGTTTTTCCCCTTAAAGCTGGGGAATGAAGTTTATGCAAGGCCTTAACAGGGGTGCTGGGTATACAAATGTTAGCAACTCCGGATTCTTGAGAGTAAAACAAAGATCCGTTTGAGGCGGGGCCATGTCTGCGGGTGCCTTTGCTCAGGGCATGCAGGTGTGTATCTTGCTGCACTTGGTGTGACTGCAGCTGATGAGGGACTTGAAGCAATAGGCTTCTCCAAGTGCTGTGGGTCGGGAGGAGAAGCATGTCATTTTCCTTTTTTTGTCATTTTCCCTGTCCCTTCTTCCTCACCAATAGTCTCCCAAACCTGACAGGTGGTTTTGTTATCAAGTACTGGTGGATAAGAGGGGAAATCTCACTGCCATTACATTGGACTGTTGGGAGAAATGGGTGAGTTTACGGCTGCAAGATCATGGAGGTTTTCTAGAAGCAGCACAATGAATTTGGTGGTATCGAAGGGAAGAAAAACAAAAAAGTGACTTCAGGGGACCCAATCTGTCCTTTGCTTTCCCATTTAGGAAAATAAGATTCAGCTACCTGTCTTAATGTGGTATTGACCAATGGAAAAGCTATGGGCAGAGTATCTGACTGAGATTTGGTACCAGAAAGTAAATGTACACATCGTTACTGCTGTAGGTGCTTTGTGGGCCAATATATGAGTAGAAAAAGGAGCCGCAGCCAGCAGGCGAAGCTGGCCAGGCGGCTGCT